AAGAAAAAAAAAAAAAGAGAAATGTTTTCTGCAGCAAATAAAACCCATTTATTTTTTAACAAAAACAAAAAGATTTTTGTATTTTAGTTAAATATTTATTTTTGAAATTTATTTATGTTGAAACCCGCATGAAGTTGGCATTTAAACTGAAATTGATGCGCACAAAGGCAAACTTTGTTTGCATAATTTTAATAATACAAAAAATATATATAATTAAATTTAAAAAACCACTCATGAAACCATTAATAAAAGAGAAAAACAATCACAGAAATTCATTTAAATCTACAAATACAATTCAGTGGTGCGTTTTTTACCTGTTTCGGGTCTAAAACATTACACATTAAAAAAATTAATTAATAAAATTATGTTTGAAATAAAGAGAGAAAGCAAAAAAGAAAAAACAAAACAAATAGAACTTTGCGATGAAAAGTCTACAAAAAGTGTAAACGTTTTTATTTATCAGATGGACTTGTCAAGTGTGTTTGTTTATCCATCAATGTAAATGGGAAACACATTCGTTTTTCAATTCTTTGCAGTGTTAGTGACTGTATGTATACATATATATTTTTGTATAGATGTGTGTGCGGTCGGTATTCGTAATGGGCATTATTATGGATGAAATATGTTACGTATTTGACATACATTCAGCAAATAGATCAAGTCGTACATTGAATAGCATACACATGTAAATAAATATATATATATACATACATATATAGAGAGATAGTGACTGATACCTATATGACTAATGTGATTTCTCTTGAAAAGCAGACTTCTTAAATGCCTAAAAGCAAACGAAATTTAATAGAATAATTACTATTATTTCTGAATTTGTAGATTCGCATACCATAGGCAGGTGTTGAAATATCGGCAGGCCCGGAACTCATGTGATTGGTCTGGGGAGTACCAAAGTTGTATCTGCCCGTTGGTTTGAAGACCTTGTAGTCCTTGGCTAGCCATTTCTTCTCGACATCGACAGGGGTTGGAGTCTCGTTGGCATTGGTATCGCCAGCCGGTGTCTGCTTCTTGGTAGCCTCTTCAGCTTGAACGGACTTGTACTCATTCTTCGGACGTTCAGCTGGTAGAGTCTGAACTGGAACGGGCTTTTGGCCACCTTTCGGTTGCCACACAATCGAGCTGTAGCTGTTTCTGGACCACTCCGAGTTAACGTACGGCGGATTGCCGTAGGCCCACCCGCCCTGCGAGTAGTGCAACGGTTGTTGATGGTGCGGATAGCTAACGGTTGTTGTCGGAATTGTAGGTGCCACATACGAAGCCCAACCGTTAAAGAAGGCAGATGGCGGCAATGAAGTTTGTGCCTGATACGGATTATAATTTGGATTATAGACTAAGTTGTCCATGATGGTCGGCTGTGGTGGCGCATAGCCGGCGCATGCGGCGCCTCCAATTGGCAAACGAACGCGTTTGCTGCAATCCAGCATCTGAGTGGATTTCTTCACCTCCACAGTGGCCATCTTAATGGAGTGTTTGCTTTGAGCTGTGCAAAAATTAAGCACGTTAATAAAGAACTTAACATATGAATGCCAGCTTACCTAAAGCACGAGCAGCACTAGCCGTATCCTCAAACTCTAAGAACCCAAAGCCACGCTTGCGTCCGGTCTCCTTGTCCAACAACACCTTGACGCTGCTGATAGCACCGAATTGAGAAAAATATTCTCGCAAAGTACTCTCATCGTGGCAGTCCTTGAGACCACCGAGAAATATCTTATTCGTCTTGATATTGCTCAAATGGCCGATGGCCTTGTTGAACTCATGACGTGGAAAAGCACGTTTGGTGTCCACAGTTCTACGAGTATTATTAACAAATATCTATATGTGTATATATTGTATGATATAACCCTAAATAGGAGACTTACTTGCTGTCAATGATATGAGGACGGGCACGCTGAACGTTCTCAACGGAGCCCGGCTCTACATAGGTGACAAAACCAAAGCCGCGCGAGCGATTGGATATTGGATCACGCATAACCACAGCATCGGAGACAACGCCAAATTGGCTGAAAAATTGGCGCATCGTATCGGCAGTGGTATTAATGGAGAGACCACCGACAAATATTTTGCGCAAATGCTCGTTGTTCTCCGATACATTAACGCTGCTCTGATTCGAATCAGCCATTTCTGGGCCGCCGTTACCAGAGGCGCGACCACCGATTTTGCGCTTCTTCAATTGGGCAGAGTTTCACATTTGTAAAGCTTAATTAATAATATAAAATGGCATACATACCTCTTGGTAGAAGGGCGCATTAACAACCGAGTTATTCACCATTTTTGGCATGAAAACTAATTTCTGCTGCTGAACAATAAAAGAAAAGCACAAAAACTGAACTGGCTAAAAATTAAATGACAACGACAGAGCCGGAAAAGTTTTAAACGTCAAACAAGTGTTACCGTATCTGAAATTTATCTACAATTGTAACTCCTTTCATGCAACCAACTGGCAACCCTATTCAAATGCAAGGACTAATTGGTTAGTGTTGGGAAGATGACGTGTGCCTATCAAAGTAACGGTAGTTATTGAACGAAGCGGCAGCACATTTCTGGCACTGCCAACTTTAACGGAAAATAACGGCATTTTAAACAACAGTGTTTCGACTAAAAGACCGTAGGATTTCTCTAGCTATCGATAATCGATTAACATTGATATCGTTAAACTGTTCAGTCATGTCGCCTGGAACAGAAATTAAAATTTTTACACAATTTCAAAATGCCCATTATCTCAACACAGAAAAACGTACTTTCTTTTGGTAAATAAATTTTATTGCAATTAAAATCGTTCAATATGACACAATTGAGATGGTTATTTACCTGCACTTACCACTTACCTTTTAACTGAGGCTAGCGCCCCAGTTCAGTTCACAGCCAATCAAAATCCGAGGTGAGCCCAAGCTCCTTGGGAACTACCAGATTGCCCGCATTGCAGAATATCCAGCATTTTGGGCAGTCTTGCAAAGAAATACGTAGTGCATTAGTAAGCTGTTGCCAATTTGTTGTTCAGGTATAAACTTGACGCGAAGTGCGGTAATTGCTATTATCTACACAAGCGCTTTCTCCTTTTTTTAAGGTTACTCAATTAGATTTTTGCCTACCTTAGTGCAAAACTTACTAATAATTTTTGATTACTCTTTGCGAGAGCTATTCATTCCTCTTGCTGCGGGTTGGAGGGGGTTTCTTCCTTTTCTTTTCTTTGTAGTCACAATTCGTGGGTGGGTAACATTAATTTTATTATCTCTTTCTTGATTTTGTTTTAACCTCGTAACGTACTAAATACAGAATAAATTTTTGCTTTTGGTTCTTTTGTACCAAGTATTAATTAGTGTAGCAGCTATATACGTCTTATACACTAACAAAAATTGGTATGTAATGATTAATGGATATTTCAATTCTGCATTCTGCAAGCAATAAAATGATGTAATTCATTTGTACAATCATTTTCGGGTCTCCTCATGGGGTTTAACAGGTTTTTGTTACTTTCAATGTGCTTTTTTCTCAGATAATAATATTAAATCATATATATAGATAGAAGAGCTTAACATATAAAAATTTATTACAAAATAGTTTTCTTTCTATATATTTGTTGAATTAAAAAATATTTCTTGATTTGCTATAAAATTAAATTGTGGAAAGTACGAGACAATTGCATCTAAATCGAATATTCAAGGTACAATACCTTTGATTTTCTTTTTGATATAGGACAACTTTATCCGCATGCAAAATGGATTCTCAAAGAGAATTGCTGAATAAGATGCGTTTTTAAATAGTCAATTTTATAAATAAAATTATATAGTTTTAGTATATTTTTCGGATAGGTTTTTGTTTTTCTTTTTTTATGTTGTTTTTTGTTGTGTAGTGTGGTTAATTTAGTTAAAAATAAGCGTTCATCAAGGTTCTTAAAGTCCTAAACACGAATTGATCATAAAAATTAAGTGTAGGTATAGACTGAGAGACAAGACATTAGCAATAAATTGTTGACATTGTTGATTGAAGTGAGTTGCTCTGGTGTTCATATTATATCAAACATAATTATTTACGTTTGATTTGATTTTTGTTATTCTTGCTTTTTTTATCGGGTTTAGTTAGTTGCTTAGGCTGGTAGCAATCAGTGGCTGAGGGCAATCAGTGTCGATTGCCTGATAACTGCATAGCTGCTGCTTACTGGCTTTTATTCAAATCATTCATTATCTTGTCTGCCTGCCTTGACTTGCCCAAATTTCACTGCCTCTCACTGTCATTGATTGCCTGCCTCTGCTTCTGCCTCTGCCTGTCTCACTGCCTGCGCCTAGACTGCCTGTTTGTCTAGCTTGAACTGATTCTGTAAGTGTTTACCTATTTGCGAGAAAGGAGAAAATTTGCATTAGCGCATTAAAAACATGTTTTTGATTATCACAATTGCTTCGATTGTTGTTTGCAACTACAATATAAATATTATTTCTCTCGAACGCTTTAAAATGCAATCATATATTTACGTTTATATAAATAGAAAAGAGAATTGGATAATAAATATTGGAATTAATTGGATTTACCTTGATTAGTAACGTCTGTTTCCACCCATATTGCCGCCTTGAGTAGTGTTGTAATTGTTGCCACCGCCAAAACCACCCTGGCCACCGCCGCCGCCTTGGCCAGCACCTGAAAAAAAAAACCATTTAATTAGTCCAACTTTTCAAAAATATCAGTAATCCGTTCACTCACTCTTGTTGAAGCCACCTGGGTTGTAAGGCGCTGGGCGATTGTTGCCAAAGTTACTGTTGCGCTGTGGGCCACCACCGTAGCTCTGTTGGTAATCGTTGCTGAAGCTGCCGCCACCACTGCCGCCGCCCCAGTTGCCGTTGCTGTTGCCACCGCCGCTATAGCCACCGCCACCACCATTGTTCCAGCCACCTCCGCCGCCGCTGTTACCGCCCTGGTTGTTCCATGGACCACTCTGTTGGTTCCACCCGCCAGAGCCGCCTTGGTTGCCTCCAAAGTTGCCATTATTACCAAAGCCTCCGCCGCCGGAGCCCCAATTACCGCCACCATTCTGACGATTGTTACCCCAGCCGCCGCCTTGGCCGCCGCGATCACCACCTCGTCCGCCGGCACGTCCACCAGGACCACCACGGCCGCCACCGCCGCCTCCACCACCACCTTGACGATCCATATCCTGTTTGGCAATTGCTTTCTTCACATCAAGCGTTTTGTTCTTGATGGTGTGCGTCTTCTGCAAGATAATTTTGTCCACGGGGTCGTAGTCATCGAACTCAATAAACGCAAAACCGCGCTTTTTGCCCGTATCCTTATCGGACACAATATTCACGCCCACAATTTGTCCAAACTCCTTGAAATACTCGCGCAGGCATTCCTCGTCATGATCGTCCCGCAGACCGCCTACAAACAGTTTCTTAACCGTGGCGCCGGCATTGGGTGCATCGATTTCCTGTCGTGGCACAGCACGCTTTGGCTCTACAGTGCGTCCATCGATTTTATGAGGACGTGCATTCTGCGCATTGTCAATCATATATGACTGTGAGTAAGTAATGAAGCCGAAACCGCGAGACCGTTTTGTTTTGGGATCCTTCATGACCACGACATCGACGATATTGCCCCACTTCTCAAAATGAGCTTTAAGGCCCTCATCGGTGGTTCGGTAGTCCAAACCGCCAATGAACAGTTTGCGGAGTTGCTCGGGCTCAGAAATTTGCTGCAGAAAAGTAAACAACACCAAGGTACAGTTAGTCACAAGTGAAATCAATAAAAATAATGCCGCCCGCCATTTTTTTTTTTTTTTAATCATATTTACATTGACTCATGTAATAAAATAAAACAGTAAGGCAACCGGAAAGTTTTTAATTTGTTTTCTTTATTTGGCCGTCAATTCGAATATAGAGAATATTACGTTGTAAATGCACATACACAGCAAAATTTGAAATGCCATTTTCATATTTCTTCAATGTGTCGGCATCGGCATTTTTTGCATGCGAATTGATAATAAACATTACGCTCACCTCATCATTGTCGTCGTAGTTTCCATTCGAATCGTTTAAATCTGCCATTTCACTTGTTCTCTTTTTAGTTTATTAATTGTTCAACGATTTTCTACAGGAAAAATTAATTTATTTGAAGCAGACGCCCAGTTCACTCACACGTACAACAAGAGAAAAAGTTAGTACCTGAGTGCTGAAAAATGAGCTGGAAAAATGGCGACCACGATTCTGACAGCAGATGCCGGCCGAGATGATCAATTATGCGATAGTAACTGTTATATACCGAAACAGTAACTGTTAAGCGGGATTTTGATTTGGGACTCAATTATTTCACGAAGTGTATGACATTGCACTCAAACTTAATATTTACTTTTCATCCTTTACTATATAAGTAATTAAATAAATATTTATTATCTTCATGCAGTATATTAAATATAGACATGTAACGACAATAGTTGTGTGTAAAAAACTCGTGACAAGTAACTATCGAATCGTTTTACAATATACCAGGGCTGAGCAACTAAACATAATGCTCTGATGCCGCATTGAAGCGGCAAGCAGTTTTGAGTTCAGTGTCATTTCCGTAGAAATTGCGTTGAGGTTGAGTCTGCATTATTTTTCTGTGACGTGCGGTGCGTAAAAAAAACTAGAAAAAGTGTTTAAATCTAGCAAAGAATATATTAACAATAAATACTTGTTAATAAACGGTACGTGAATAATTTGTGTATTATAATAATTAGGAAAAAGTGGTAAAGATGCAGTTATAAATATTTTTTTTTCGCTGAAAAGTTCTGTACCCGGTGGACAACGTTGACATCGCCGCCATCTTGGCAAATACACACATACTATACATGAATTTCACTCACCCTCCCAGCCATGAATACATAGGCACATAGTTTAGTGCTTAAAAATATTAAAATTGGTGAAAAAGAAACACAGTTTTTACACTTCTGATATTTTATAGCATAATCAGCAACAAATATGGTTGGATCGCGCGTTTATGTAGGCGGACTACCCTACGGAGTCCGTGAACGCGACTTAGAGCGCTTTTTCAAAGGCTATGGACGCACTCGTGATATACTTATCAAGAACGGCTATGGCTTCGTGGTAAGTAGTCAAAACAAAGAGAAAAAAGTAGACCAACCAAAAATTGATAAATCGATAATTAATTCAATTTGCAGGAATTTGAGGACTATCGTGATGCAGACGATGCCGTATACGAATTAAACGGGAAAGAACTGCTGGGGGAACGGTAAGTTTAATGAACGCGAAATTTTTGCTTAACATAGGAAAAAATTATATATATATCGTTCCGAAATATTATAGTGTTGTTGTTGAGCCAGCTAGAGGCACAGCGCGTGGCAGTAATCGGGATCGTTACGATGATCGCTACGGCGGACGCCGCGGTGGAGGCGGCAGATATAATGATAAGTAAGTACAGCTGCGACCGTTAAGTTTAGATTAGCTATTTTCTGCTTTTCTCATTCGTTCAATGAACGTACGACTGTGGACCCGTGGCTAAAACTTGAATACGAATCAGATTGAATTTCGAACGAAAATTAAAAAAAAAGAAATCGCCAAGTGTTTATTTGAAAAACAAAATTCAATCGTGTCTACTTGAAAAGTTTACATAACACGCAATACTCCATTTATATAAATATTTGTTTTGGACTTTCGACGATTAATTTTCGTATGCTTAGTGCACAAGTAATGCACTATTGCTATCTCATCAGATTATCAGTTTAGCTACTTTTGGGTCCACAATAATAGTGATAGTCCCACTCATTCTCTAAAGACACTGACATGCTGTTTATATATATATATATGTTAATATAACATTCTGTTTTTGCTAATTATGATATACATATATTAATTTACTTACCGTCTGCACGTCTTAATAATTTCATTTCATTTTTTAATAATTGTATTTTCCGCGGTACGCCTTTTGCGACTGCCTATCCCAATCCCTTTTCTTTTTCATTTCTTTGAAATGCTTTCGATTTATGCTCTCGCCCTTTGGCTAAAAAGTAGCATCTACAATTTGCACAATATTGTACATATATATAAAAATGATTTGAGCAGCAGCGCAGTGTCAATACTAATTTGGAATTCATTAAATTATTCACCAGAAACAAAAATTCCAGATCATCCTCTCGTTATGGACCGCCATTGCGCACTGAGTATCGTTTGATTGTCGAGAATTTATCCAGCCGCGTTAGCTGGCAGGTAAGCTTTTTTAATTTTCATACATACATACTATAAACCTATAGCTTAAACTGTAGAATAGACTGTATTTAGAAATAACAACTATCTAACTTCTTAAATGATCTGATCCGATGCGTCAGTTTCAAAGAGCTAATCAATCTATCTATAAACTATATGTTTAATTTAAGCGAAGCACTTCCTCGTTTCACCTATTTTTTTTTATGATTTTTTTCAAGTCCCCTTATAAGTTGGTGATGCTCCCCAAAACCATTTTATTTTCTTTCAAGTAGATTAGTTTACCTTTATCAATTATTGGAGCTGGAAAACTAAGGAATATGGTCTCTAATTATCAATGAAAGATATATTAATTTAACAAATTAACATTAACATTGAAGCATATTAAATAACTTTAGTTAATGTCCACATTGAAGGCTTTCCAGCTCCGGTAAATGATGTTTGTCTATTATGTTTAAGCTGTACAGTTGATTTATAGCCCTAAGCAAAAGTAAAACAATGTAAAATGTTCGTTAACAACTCTGGTACTGATCGTTGCAATCCCAACAATTATTTTTTTCACACCAACCAAAAAATAAAAGAGTTTGATGTGTATCTGTTACTGAACCGCCCCAGAGCTTAGAAGAGAGTGACAAATAATACAGGCAGAGAGAATCGGTGCCACAAACCGAGCTGAACACAATATCAAAAAACCAGCTATGGCCAAATACTTCGTCGATGTACGATATAATAAGGCATGGCCGGGGGCCGCAACTAGTTACATACATACATGTGTTATAAATCGGATGAAATGCCACTAAAAATCGAGAGACAGGCAACAGAACACGCACGCAACGCATATATAAACTAAATGATTCGACGCCTGACAGCATCCCACGTTATCAGAGTCGATCGCTTTATGAAAGATCTTCGCTTGGGTCATAACAAACGATATATTCCCTTTTAAACCATCTCCCAACCAAACACACACTTGGTCATCGCGCTGTCGTCATCGCCTTCGCCGCCGTCGTCGTCGTCGTTGATGCCTCGTCGTCATCCATGCCAAAAACAAACCAAAAAAAAAAAAAAAAATGCCATAAAACTGATGTGAATTGTGATGGGCTAACAAGAGGCCAGCCTACGCTCAACGCCAAGAATATTTTATTGCCGTACTGCGTAGGCTAGCCTCTTGTTCTCTGAGAATTAGGTATTTAAATGAATAAGCATTCACAATTTAATTTTAAAAAATTATATAAAGAATTGTCAAATTCCTTATAGCGAATGTGAGAGTTTTGAGGTCGTATGAGAGAGATTGAGAGATGTTAACAAAGTAACTAAACAGTTAGATGCGATGGGATGATGATGATGATGACTGWTGATGACATGACGATGATGATACTGGCTGACTCTTTAACGCGTTTACTTCATCTTCGGTTAGACAAAGTGCAGCACACACAATGCATCCAATACTAGCGACAACATTTGCCAATTCTGTGTCTGTGTTCTTCCCCTTACTACTGGCCCGGCTTGGCCTGACTCTGGCTCTGGCTCCGGCTCTGGCTCTGACTCTGACTCTGGCTCCGGCTCTGGCTGACTATCGACTAGAGACTCTTGGAGCAGCTATCGCGCCATCGTCGCACATCGACGCCAACGACGTCGTCCAGCCTAGCCTCAGAGGCGATCCCCCAAAACGTATTTCTTATTTTTACAGTTCGCTTATGTGTGAGGCCATAAGAGAGAGAGATGAGAGATGCCGCCGCCTGGTTGACTGCCTGGTTGCATACTGTTGTGTACTGTGCGTACTGTGCTGCTCTACACTGTTGTCACTGCTCGCTCTCTCACCCACAAATCCCGTCTGCGGCCGCGGCAGTGGTGTTGGCTCCCTGGCAACTGTTTCTGACTGTGCGTTCATTTGGGTCCCACGATAACAAAAACAAAAGTACAAGAACAAACCAAATACCACAAACGTAGCACAACAAAAATACTATTTTTTTTTTTATAAATGAATTTATTCAAAATAATGTTGAAATCACACCAAAAACCATAAACCAAATGTCAAACATTTGCCCGACTGACTGGCATGGCTTTGATGCGATTTTCGGGTTGCTGGCTTGGCCTGGTCGCCAACATGATGATCATATGATTTGATGGTAGAGATGTGGAGCTCTCGATCTTCTCGCTTACTGCTCCTTTGATGAGGTCGTGCGGTCCAACCAAGGGCCTACAGTAACTAGGCAGACAAACTAAACTCTCGGTGTTGTGCGATAAAAGCGATGTGTGTGTCCTCTCTCTGAAAGCGCATTAAGTAAGAACTCAATTACAACTTATGTTTTAATTTTGATCAAGAAACCAAAAAAAAATATATCTATACATATATATATGTTACATATAATTATGCTTACGTTTTGTACCGCGTGCAGCAGCCAACACAAGCAATGAATATTTCGACCGAACTGGCGAACTGTTGTGCTCGATTCTGACTGAACTCTCTGGCAACGGCGCAACTGGCACTTGCACTTCTACCCCCATAAAACTACCCCCACAAAGTACATTAGGCAGGCGATGCGAGAGCGATCACATCATACATACCAGTGAGAGAAAGACAGAGAGACAGATTGAGAGGCAAAGAGGGCAGAGCTTTGGTTAGGAAGGCCCAGTTCCACATAACTGTTGCGCATATATAGCATTCAGCGATACCAGCTCGGGAACATATTCAAACTGCTTGGTCTGCACGCTGTATTTGATTTGTCTAGATGAGCACAAAACTGCCGGTGGCTATATTTTATACTAATTTATATACTGTTTTTCGTATTTGTGCGTTATCTGTAGGATCTGAAGGATTACATGCGCCAAGCTGGCGAGGTTACCTATGCTGATGCCCATAAGCAGCGTCGCAACGAGGGGTAAGTTGATTATGAAACTTTATATAGAATTCAGTTAACTAATTTGGTTATATCTAATTTTTAGTGTGGTCGAATTCGCCTCGTTGTCGGACATGAAGACCGCCATTGAGAAACTCGATGATACCGAGCTGAATGGTCGTCGTGTGCATTTGGTGGAGGATCGTCGTGGTGGACGCAGCGGTGGTGGTGGTGGAGGCGGTGGCGGTGGTAGTGGCGGTGGTGGACGTGGCCGATCACGTTCGTCTAGCTCGCGTTCACGTTCTCGCTCTCGCAGGCGTTCTCGCTCACGCCGCTCGTCGCACTCGCGCTCGAAGTCACGTAGTCGCTCCAAGTCTCGCGGTGGACGCTCCAAGTCAAAGTCCCCAGTCAAATCGCGTTCTCGCTCACGTTCGCGCTCCAAGTGAGTTCAATTGCTCGTTTGAGCCTACTTTTCATTTTATAACAATCTATTATTTCTTCTGTTGCAGCAAATCTCGTGATGTGTCCAAGTCAAAGTCAAAGTCTCGCTCTCGCACTCGCTCCCGCTCGCCCAAGCGCGATTCACACTCACGTTCACGCTCTAACTCTAAGCGTGAGTCACGTTCCCGTTCACGTTCAAAGTCGAATCGCCGTGATTCGCGTTCACGGTAAGTAGTTCTACATGTTTTTGAGCTTTATGTGATATATGTTTTCTTTTCGTGCTTTCTTTGATTTTTTTGGGATGCGCAGACCGTGTTTGGTGGCCCCAAATGTTTAATATATATATTAATATGCTTTTCAAAAATTTTTTTTGCAGTGATCGTTCCGCATCGCCCGATAACAAGTCGCGTTCTCGTTCTCGTTCACGTTCAGCATCGCCGAAGAATGGAAACGCTTCACCAGATCGCAACACCGAAAGCATGGATGATTAGATTAGTTAGCTGTCCCATTAATTATAAAAATATTGATTTTAGTTTTCGACTATTTACTATATAGAAAAACAAATACAGACACCCCTATCCACCAAAATCACTTGAAACAAAGGAAACACTCAACAAGCAAAATCAGCGAAAACATTGTGCAAATCTTTTATCCACTACCAAACATCGTAAACATTTTTTTAATATTTAAAAATTATGTTTTAAGTATGCATTCGACAGACATGGCTAGGCCCCAAATCAACTTGATTGTAACACACAGCAAAGGACAGGGACAAAGGACAGTCGGTCGAACATTTTTTCATTGATTAATTTTTGTGCAAAGGCAACGGAAATTCTTGCCTAACAAATTGTTTACACCGAATTATAACACATTTGTCTTTACAAATATTTCAATAAAAACTGAATGGATTACTTATATACAAACTGAAAATGTGAACTTGTATTTTCATTGGGTTAGAGGTGTAGATCAAAAAGAATTCTTTATGCAATGTATATTTATATAAATTTTGGTATTTATTTTCGAATTTGAATATACTTTTTGGGATGTATATTACAAAGTCTTTTGATTTGAATTGTTTCGCTTTATTTTCAATGAATTAAAATTACAATTTGTTTTATTTGTTTCATTTAGAATTGAGTAGCTAAATTTCATATTTGTGACATTGTTTAAACACATACGATACGATAACTACTAAAAATTTGAAATAAATTGTATATTAAAAAGTCGTATTTTATAATATTCATTTTTTTTTTTCTTTGTTTACCTTTTTGATAATACAGAATTAAATACATAACTATTTTAGAACTTCGGTAGCTTTTGGATTTCCCGTTTTGTTTCTTTAACAATAGTTTTCTTTGACTTTAAAGTATATCGGTAATTACGTTGACTAAAATATTTACAAAGCACATAAGGATTTGTTCTGGAAATTATGAGTTTTCAAAAAATGGAAGAATCGAATTCGCTTAAAATTGTAGCTGGGATTTATCTACTCTAAATGTGAACAAAATGCAATCGTCTGAGGGAGTTAAGGGTCTGTCTAGTTTCTGGGATTGCGAATGGCGGGGAAATATGTGCACAGTGGGCGAGGCACCCACTTGTACGCCTATCTGTCTAAATCTATATTTTGTTTGGCACTCTTTGGAGACAATTGAGCACTTGGCTTTCATTTGACCTTGGCGTTGTTTTTTATTTACTTGTTATGCGACTACTAACTATAGTATGTATATTTAGATGTAGTATTATTAAACTAATATCCCGCTCATTATAATTAATAATCATAAGAAATATAATAATAAATATACGAATAAAATGGGCTATCTTCTAATCAAAATTATTAAGTAATGTAATTTCTGTTGTATATATATGTAATAAATATTTACAGAATTGAAATTTGACACGGCTCTGAAAACTATTTGGATGTCTCTATATATTTTGGGAATTTAAGTGCAGCCTGGTAGAGGCAGTTCTAGTCTAGTGAACCTCACTTTATATTTCGATATATTGATAAAGAGAAAAAGAGCGAATGAGAGTGTGAGCGTGTGGGTGTGAGATAGCCGGAGTTATTGATCATTCTGAGTTTTGTCTATCGCTCGGAAATGGCAGTGGTTAAGATCAATTTTCTAGTGCCCTAAGTCAATAATATACACATAAGATATAGCTAGCTCTCTAATGCTTATCATATACATATCTATTTATGTGTAAGTGTGTGTATACATAGATGGTATTTATGCACTAATTTACATTGTAAATGCACATAAATTTTAATTTCGCAAACGCACAAGATTTTTGCACATTTCATTTTAGTAATTTAATTTTTTTTTTTTTTTTTTTTGCTTTTCAATTTGTTGTTTTCACTACGCTTCAGTTTCAAATTCCGTTAGGTTTAAGTACAATGTATCAGAGAAAGTTTATCACTTTAAGTATATTTAAGTCGTCTTCTAGGTCGTTGCTTGCGGGCACAACTAGAGGGGGGGGGGGCGAGGGGGGGTGGCCACATTCGTTGCTCCAAACTTAGTTATCTAAATGCGAAACGATAAAAGTGATACATTGCGCTTGAGCAATTTGTGCGGCGGCTTGTGTGGCGAACGATTTTCGGTATCATCGACCACATCCAGACCCATGCCCATGCCCATGCCCATGCCGAGGTGGCTGCCAGTCATGATGCCGCTGCCATTGAGGGCGCCAATTGTGTGCATGCTCTGCGTATCATAGTTCAGATCCTGCATGGGCACCACCTCCGGCAACAGGTGTCGTATGTGCGTGGGCGAACGACGCAGCTTGTATTGATGCCTGTTGAAATAGCAAGAGTAAATGCAAAATAATATTAGCTAATGTAGATACGTAATATTAATATATTAATCATATCATTAAAAGCTTCAATCATGCAGATTACATAAATTTAAAGCTTCTGCTTACTCTGCAACCTTTGCGCTGGTCGCGTTTTTATGCCTGTTGCCAGCAGAGTCAGAGTTTAGTCAAGTTTAAACAACATTGAGACATCAAACAAAGCCAAAGAGAGTTAGTTACACGGCATCAACATAAAATGCAAAAGCCACAGCAGATAAAGGAAATTGATGAAATGCATTACAGTATTAAAACATACATATTCAGATATGAAATATTTAAACTTTGTCTTGTATATGTTGTATATTTGTACCAATCAATAAATCATCTTAGCACCCAAGATGTGAGCAGGAAATTGTCTGTATGTATATGTATTTGTCTATCTACTTGGGGGTGCCGCCCTAGAATCGGAGACGGAAAATGACACCCCACAATAATGGATTGCTGTAGATATACAGACAAGACCCGCTCACATTTCGTGTACATTTTTTATAATCATCAAATACAATATACCCATCAAATATAAAAATAATAAAACATAATAAATATATATGCATTGAAACAGTTTTATATACAATTATCAGAATTATCAGAAGAGTAAAATTTTTACAGATAAAGAGTTAAAGAGTAAAATTGTTAAAGACTGCTAGAAACACCAAACGCATTTTTCTAGGCATCTTCATTCATATAGATTCTAGCTAATTTCTTTGCTGATTGTATGATAGGAAGTATGCTAAATTTATAATACATATATATACATTCATATATATATATGCTAATTCCCTTAAGCTATAAATTCTTTTCCCAAATCTAAGAGTCTGTGTCAAAAGCCCCGCCCTGTTCTCTCATGTGCTCTTTTCTTTCATGAGTATTCTGAGCTCGTAAAGATGGAAGCGGAAACGGAAGCGGAAGTCGTACAATCACACATAGACAGAGGCACACACACACAAGCAACCTTCCCCCTCTCTGTCTAAAGATGCTAATTGGTCTCTGTGTGGGCCCTTCTAGCTTATATCAGACTTAAAGTTTATATCGCATTTTACATACTTTTTATGTCGATTGCCATTGAGGCAGATGCAGCGGCAAGAGCACATCGAGGATGTATTCGTGCCGTTCAGAGATTGGCCATCTTGTCCTTCGTAGCCGCTCAATATGGAACCGTTGGATGTTATCACATCGCCCTCCAGCTTGACAGCCACTTGTAGTGCCTGTAATATCACATCGCGTGCAATTAGTAGATATTTAGATTTAGATATAGCTAAGATATAGATTGAAGCGCAGTTTGTTGTGAATGGAAAGTGTGTTGTTGTTGTCTGCAAGCTGTTATTGTTGTAATTGTATTTGTTGTTGTTGAGATGAAAAATGTTTTTGTACAGTGTCTGTTAGGTACTGAATTGATAGTAGCAGAAGTTGTAATAGTTGGAGTATTTGTTTAGTCAGAGTAGTAGTAGATATATTTTTTTAGTTTAGCTCAAAGAACCACCAGCAATCACCTCATTGGTCCATAAAGAGGACTTGGTCATAAACTAAGTGCGCGCGCGTTTTGCATTTGTTTCATATTTCATTAAGTCAAAAGCAACCGAAAATATGCCAAAAAAGATACAGAAACAAATATATTTATATAAATATATATATGTATATATATTCGATTGTCGATTAAGAGATTTCTTTGTAATAAATTTAATCAATTTAATTTAAATTAAGGAATTCAAATACAATTCGTACAAAGAGTAAAAGAAAAAAATCGAGAATTGTGCACGAATAAAATTTTAAGAATTTATAAATTGTGCTTTATAAAATTGGCAAGCATTTAGTAAAATTCAATAAAAAAAATTGATTTTTATCTTTAAGAAATTTGGTAAAATTCTTTTTTTTATCTTTAAGAAATGAGTGAAAAAATATTGAAAGCGCATTTAAAAGATTTATAAAAGGAATTAGAAATACCCTGCAGTTAGAGGTCAGCAAGATATACGAAGTTAAGTATTATTTAGGGCGCAGTGAGACTAATAGATATAAGTTTGAGGTTAGAAAAACTTTTTACTACCAACTGCTCAACTTGATAAATATAATTGTATTATTACATTACTTTTTTTTTATAAAAAAAAAAAAAAAAAAAAAAAAAAAAAAAATTCCCCAAAACCCCAACTAAAAACATTTTCTATTGGACAATATTGATGAAAAGAAATGGGCATCATTTAAAGCTCACCTGCATGGCCTGGGCCTCGTCGCGTCGCTCATCCTCGGTATTCATTGTAACAAACCTTAGAACTAACAGATTCAGTGAGGCGGCAACAATTGCCAGGCCGAATAGTATAAATATCAGTGCGAACATAACATATTCGGGTTTTCGATTTAGTGCATTGTCCTTCTGCAAAGCTACCATATCGCCGAAGCCTAAAAGAAATTACAATTAAGTTTCATACAGTAATATTTATAATTATACAATATAAATATATAAAGTAAAGTAAAGCTTTACCATAAATTAGCTACCCTTCACGACAATAACTATTCTCACCTATTGTGGTTAAAGTAATAAAACAGTAATATACTGAATCAAAGTAGCTCCAGCCCTCAAATCTTGAAAAGGCCGCAGCACCGCCTGCAATCGTCAGTGAACTGAGCGTCGTGACAACGCATATAAGGTCCACCTCTGAGGCAACCGTTCGTTTGCAGCGCAGCGATGTTCGCACCGCCTGGATGACGAAACTGAAATGGATCATAAATTATAGAAGATGTTTTAAGCATTTTTATAATACAT